GGGATCACAACAGAGCGTTCTGGATAGAGCTGGAGAAGGATGTAGAACAAAGTTCTAACACACACACAAAAAGACCAGATTTACTGGCCTGGCAGAGACTGGAGAAACCCCGAGAGTATGGCCCCCAGACACCCTTTTAGCTCAGTGGTGAAGTCACTTCCAAGGTTCACCATTCAGCCGGAGATTGGATAGCCCCATAAAACAAAACGGGACTAATGAGGCACAGCAGTCCAGGGACAAGGACTAGAAGGCAGAAAGGGACAGGAAAGCTAGTGATAGGGAACCCAAGGTTGAGTAAGGACAGTGTTGACGTGTAGTGGGGTTGTTAACCATTGTCATAGGGCAACACGTGTACTAACTGTTTAACGAGAAACTATTTTGTTCTATAAACCTTCATCTAAAGTGAGAATAGAAGCACAACTGGAAGAACGTAATCGATGTCACTGAATTGTGCATGTAGAAATTTTTGAAATGGTGTATCTTTGGCTATGTATATTTTCACAAAAGAAAAAAAAGGTCAAGAAGGGAGACGGTTGACATGTCATGGGGTTGTTAACCAATGTCATAAAACAATATGTACTGACTGTTCAATGAGAAACTATTTGTTCTGTAAACCTTCACCTAAAGTACAATTAAACATAAATAAATAAATAAAGAAGAGAGTGGTTTGTGTTCACCTCACACATAATGGTTCCTTGAGTGTTTGAAAAATAAAATCAAATTAAAAAAATTTTGACATTTATTGCCAACATGAAATGCCTCCAGAAGAGCTTTAGCTGTAGCCCCCATTTTTGAGGGAATAAGACTATTATTATTCCTGTGATAAGAAGGTACCTCTTTTTACTATTTCCAACTTTTTCACCAGCAGAATATTTACCCTTGTCTAAGAGTCAGCTCCCTTCCTTCCTACTTCTCCTCCTCCCTCCCATCCTTCACCCTCTCACTCTGTTTTCCTTTCTCCTTCTCATACATTCATTCATTTCACAAATATTTATACGCTGAACACTGTCATGGGAGTAGTGAGCACTGAGTATTTCTGCTCTGGTGGAGTTTATAATTTTGTGGATTCTTGATCCAGCCATGTGTAATGCTGAGAGTAACATCAACTGGCCACTCTACCCTTCCAACCTCAGATTACTCAAAAATATTTGTTGTGTACCTGTTATATGCCTATCACAGTGGGAAGTGCTATGGTAACAAAAATAAAGAAACTTTCTGCTTTCAAGGAGATCTCAGCTTAATGAAAAAGCTTACATTCCTTGCCCCCCAGTCTAAATCCTCTGATCTGGTCAGCAGCCTTCTCGCTCTCCTGTCAACACATCATTATTTTTCCTACCCTATGATTTTGCTTATGCTTCTCCTCTTATCTCAAATACTCTTTCTGTTCCTCTTTACCTGAAGCCTGAGACTCAGGCTGCCCTGTCTGATCATTATTCTTAAATGAAAGTGAAGAGGGGGAGGGATTTCACCGTAGAGGAGGGAGCTTCCCAGCTCAAGGGAATAGGGCTTAAATCATTGAAGGGCTGGAAGAACAACTGCATTACTCATGAAAAGGGATGGATCTGAATTTTCCAGAGATCAAGAAACTCAATGTCTTCAAAGAAGACAGCTTGCCAAGTTCTCCCCTCTCCATCTCCACTTATCTATAGAAATACTCGGTTTGGTTGGGTGTACTATTGCAATCATTTGTAAAATCTGCTTACTATTTTTTCCTTTAATTGTCCTATAGCACAATTACAATCTTCTGTATTGTTTAGTGTAGAGATAAACTCTGTGTATGCTTTCCTTTTCATAGTCTGCTGCTCATATGGCATGACATTTGTTCACAGATAAAATGAAAAGAAAGAGAAAAATTGGTTTGGAGTCAACTACAGGGCTTTTGTGATGACTAGGGTGTCAAGAGATGAAGAGGCCAGAACAGAGTGCTGGCCATGGAAACAGCGGAAGAAATTGGAGTATCAGATGTCTGAAATATACAACAGGCAGGACTTGGCGATTGGCTGGATGAGGATGTGCAAAGGGGCATGGAGTTAGAGTCTCCAGGGCTCTGGGCTGTGGAACCAGGGACCTATGGTGCCCTTGACACCAGGCAGGGATTTGGGGAGGGGGAGTAGTTTTATGTGAGAAGTTGGTAAATTTGACTTGGACCATGTTGAGTCCAACCTTTCAACGTTAATTTCCATCTCAAAGCAGACTATTATCTTTCTTTTAAAAGCACTCTTGTTTTGCAGGGAGCATTTGTTGGTCTGATGGCTGGATTTACTGTTTCTCTATGGGTTGGGATCGGAGCTCAGCTGTATCCTCCACTTTCTGAGAGAACTTTGCCATTAAGCCTTGAAACCTATGGCTGTAACAGCACATCCAATGTGACGGATTTGGTGGTAGCCACAGAAATGCCATTTTCTACTAGTGCTTTTCAAGTATACAACGTCGCAAGGTATTGAATTAGGTTTTATAATGTCATTTCTTTTTTTTTTTTTCAATTATGTGACAGGTAGAGAACTCCAGATGCTTTAAAAATTTATTGTGGTAAAATTTTATCCATGTTGAAGCGTACAATTTTGTGGCATTAATTACATTGACAGTGTTGTGTGACCATCACCACTATCTATTTTCAAAACTTTGTCATTATCCCAAGCAGAAACCCTGTACCCATCAAGCAATAACTTCCCATTCTTTCCTCCCTGCAGTCCTTGGTAACCTTTAATATACTTTCTGTCTCTATGAATTTGCTTGTCTAGATACTTCATATAAGAGGAATCATACAGTATCTGTCCTTTTGTATCTAGCTTATTTCACTTAACATAATGGTTTCAAGGGACATCTATGTCATAGCATGTATCTAGAACTTCTACAAAGGTGAAAAGAAGTGGTAATAGAAGATATCTTGTCTTATTACTGGTATTGGGGCAAAGATGGAAGGGGGAGGAAACTTTCAAAATTTCGCTCTTAGTATGATAGAATTTTGCACATATTCTTTATCAGATTAAGAAAGTTCCCTTTTATTCCTGGTTTCTGAAGTGGTTTTTTTTCATGACTAGGGGTGGAATTTTATCAACTACCTTTTCTGGATCTATTGAAATGCTTACATAATTTTTCTCCTTTATTCTGTTTCTGTAATGAATTATATTGGTTTATTTTCAAACGTTAAACAACCTTTTCATTACTAGAATAAACCTACTTTTTGATGTATTTTTTTAATAAATCACTGAATTTGATTTTTTTCCCCTAGTTTTTTGCATCTATATTCATGAGAGTTATAATATATTATTAATATAATATATTATAATATCTCTGTGAGGTTTTATTATTGAGGTTATTTTGGGCTCATAAAGTGAGCTGGGAACTGTCTGTTTTTTCTATCAGTTATTTCTATGATTGTGGATTTGTCTATTTCTCCTTTTAGTTATGTCAGTTTTTGCTTAATATATTTTGAAGCTTTGTTATTAGGGGCATTCAAGTTTAGAATTGTTATATCTTCCTGGTGGACTGACCCTTTTGTCACTCAGAAATGTTCCCCTTATGTGTAGTGCTAGGATGCTGTGCTCTGCTGAGATGCTTAACAAATGGCAAATGCCTCAAGGGGAAAAGCTGTGGAAGGAGGTCAGGCTCACCTCAATGTGTTTCCCTTCTCTGTGGGATCATGGCCTTTCAATTTCTCATAGTCTTGAACAGTCTGATGTCTTCAAACATGCCCTACCCCTCAGTTTCTATATATTGTTCTCAGTAGAATGGTTGGTCTACATAAAGCTACTCTTTCAAAGCTGAAAGTGGAATCCTAAAGCAAACTTTAAAAAAAAAAATCAGATCATTCTTCTACTTAAAATCCTACAATGAGTGTCATTGTCCTTAAAGTAAAATCCAGACCCATCCCAAGTCCAACAAACACAACCCTGCCTACCTCTCATCTTGTACCACTCTGAATCTTGCTCACTTTACTTCAGTCAGCTGGCATTTACCTCTCTCTCGTATTCTTTTCTCAAGAACTTCCATATCACTCAACCACTGCATCACCAGGACTCCCAAAAACTTTACGTGGCCAACTTTTTCTTGTTATTCAGATCTCGGTTCAAATGTCACTTCCTTACAGAAACTTTCTCTGACTACTCATTATAAAATGGTTCCTTCCTCCCACCTTGTCAGTCTTATATTACCCTGTTTTATTTTCCTTAAAACACTTTCCACCAGTGGAAATTATTATGTTTATTTGTTTACTTATTGTTTTTCTTTCCCTATTAGAATATAAACTTTATGAGGGCAGGAGACTTATCTATTTTATACAGCTGACTCTCCAACGGCAACAACAGTATCTGGCACATAATACAGAGGTGAATAAGTAAACATGACCGTTTGGTATTATAGTATATAGGCAAGGTTAAGTCATACTTTTAAATCCTGATCCAATAAGATAAAATTGGGATGTAAGATTATGACATTTTAAACACTATTAAATTTTATATCTTAACTTTGCCATGAGGCCCACTGACATATATTATAGTTGCTAATAGCATTAGATGAAATCTTATAATTATGATTTTGCTCTCTCTTAGGACTCCATTGATGGATAACTGGTATTCCTTATCATATCTATACTTCAGTACTCTTGGAACTTTTGTAACAGTTCTCGTGGGAATAATTATTAGTTTACTAACAGGTAACTATCCACACATCAGTATTTTTGTATTTACCTCCTTATATCAGTTTGTACTATATCTATTTGGTAACCATTATATTGTGGTTCTGTTAACAACTAGTTTAATTATATCCTCCATTTTATTCATGGGAAATTTGAGGGCCCGAACTTGAAAGCAGAAGACCGGTCTCTATTCGAGTCTTCATTGTACCATTTACTTCATTCTGCCATGAACTTGGACAATCATATGGCTACTCTGAACTTAGTTTTCTTATCTATAAAATGAGGGTAATAGTAATTAGTCCACCAATTTCACAAGGTTGTTGTAGGATAAAAATAAGATACTGGAAAAAACTGTATATAGCTACCAGGTAGGTACAATATTAGGCATTTTACACATATGTTTGCAACAACATTGTGTCATGATTCTTCCATTGTCCTATACTGATTTTTTTGTAAGTTTTAATGAGTTATACACAGATAAGGAATAATAATTTTTTATGTCTAATAATCTCTGTGTCTAAACACAGTGTGATGTTTATGTCTAAACATAGTGTGAGGGCTATTTTCAAATGATCATAAACTTAAAAAATAATAATTTTTTAAAATCAAACTGATAATGCAAATAGTATAACTTGCCATCTGGGATTGCTATGGAGCTGTTACCATGGGACATTTTGTCTTCTTTCTGTGAATTCTCTTTATTTCCCTCCTTGTTGGATCGCCTGTTGCCTGTATCCCATTACTCCTCATTCTTGGATACTCCCTTAATGAAATGGAGCATATCCTACAGCACATTCTTGAGAAAGGATCGACAAGAGTTTTTGGAAACTTCACATGTTTGACAAAAGTATCTTTAATCTACCTTTATGCTTGATCAAAGGAGCTCTGGTGGCATGATGCTTAAGCGCTTGCCTGCTAACTGAAAGGTTGGAGGTTTGAAACCACCAGTGGCTCCATGGGAGAAGAGAGCTGGCAATCTGCTCCCATAAAATGAAAGCCTTGGAAACTATATGGCAGTTCTACTCTTTCCTACAGGGTTGCTATGAGTCAAAATCGACTCAACGGCACACAACAACAACAATTTGCTTGATCAATAATTAGAGAATCCTAGGTTGAAAATAACTTCTTGTTTCTGAGAGGGTATCTCTATTTTCTTATTATCGTTTACTGTGTTGCTGTTGAGAATGTCAATGCCATGCTGACTCCTGACCCTTTTGCATGTGACCTGTTTTTCACAATCACTGCCTTGCCCTCGGTTCTCAATAGAGTTCTTTCAATCTGAAGACCCATGTCCTTCAGTTCTAGGGAATTTTCTTATTCTATGTCTTTGTTAATTTACCGTCATGTTCTAGGTTTTCTCTTTCTGGAAATTCCTACTAGTCAAATGGACTCTTGGACAGTTCCTCTAATTTTCTTATCTTTTCTCTCCTGTTCTCTATCTGTGTATTTTTTAGGTCTACTACATGGGATATTTAAAAAACTTGTTTTCCAGTAATTCTCAAAGAAGCATTCTGATCCAGTTTTGAGACTATTCTGTAGGGGAACAAGGGCAGGTAGGAGGCTATTGCAGTAAAATCCAGGTGAGACATCATGGTGGCTCAGACCAGGGTAGTAGTTTTGTGGTGGTGGAGTTGATAAGAAGTGCTGGGTCCCTAATTTCCTAAATTCCCTCACACACATACATCCACAGCAACCAAACTAGGGAAAGCAGCTCCACTTCACTTTTTGTCAAATGTGTTATAACTAGTCAGAAATCCTACACTTTTGTCCAAGTATGTCTGATGTCTTTGTTTCCTTTAGCTACCAGCGCTGTGCCATTTTATAGAATCCTTCTGTCAATCATTGTTTTTTGGCACCTGGGTAGCACTGTCTTTCAAACTTCTATGACCCTTGTATTTATACTTATGAAATTGTCAACTACTTGTTACCTCTAAAAAGTTGTTTTAAAGCATTGTCTTTCTTTTTAAAAAGGGTTGTGCTCTGTCTCATAAATAAAATTACCAGCAGAGTAGGTTTATTCTCTTGTCCATTTTCATATACTTTAAGACAGATTTTAAACTTTTCTCATCAGTTATCCAGTTATTCAGTCCTGGAATACATCTAACCAATCTGCTTATACTATTTGTCCCTTGGTCCAAATTTAGCCCATTTTATTTCCTTAAACACTTTAACCATGTATAGCTGTATCTTTTGTTTTAAAAAGTAATGATCTACACAGGTGAGCAGGCATCCAGTGATAAAGCCAAAAACACTTGAACTTCATTAATTTCACCAATGGCTTATTCATAGTGAGCCCCTTGAAAAATCTAAAAACATATACTCCTGATGCTCCTTGGAACATATATTTTAAAACTTACTGTAAAGTACTAGAAATCTGTAAGAATTCAGGCCACACAGACTTGGTTTTAGTTTAAGCTCCACCAAACCATTTACTATGTACCATGAGTCTGTTTTCTTCATCAGTAAGATGGGGATAAATATTTTCCTATGAAGACCATAAGTACAGTGATCGTTTTATTAATCTGTTTCTTCTGTACCTAGTAGAGTCTTTAGCACAGTGTTAGGTGCTGTCGAGTGGGCTCTGATTCATAGAGACCTTATGTACAACAGAATCAAACACTGCCCGGTCCTCACCATCCTCTTTTTAAGCCTTTTGTTGCAGCTACTGTGTAAATCCATCTGACTGAGGGCTTTCTTCTTTTTCTGCCCACCCTCTACTTTACCAAGCATGATGTCCTTCTCCAGGGACTGGTCTCTCCTGATAACATGTCCAAAGTATGTAAGGCAAAGTCTCACTATCCTCCCTTCTAAGTAGCATTCTGACTGTACTTCTATATAGTGACCTAAGATACCTGGAAACACTAAGTTCCTGGACTACTTAAGGATCATCCGAAGCACTACATCCCCAGGCTGCCTTAAGGAGAGGTCTCCCATACAGCATTTCATAGAGGCTAAACTGAAGCCTGCTTCTAGGGGCCACCCGGACTCTCAACAGGGCAGTGTAGCAGCTTGATCCAGGGCACGCTGGGTCTCTTAGAATACAAGTATTTACTCACATTGCCCACACTAACTTAGGTTTCTGATTAGACCTTTTAAGCACACAATCAATGACTGTGGTCTCTAGGGAGCATGTAGCTTCCACCAAATTCCTAAACGTCCTGACTTTGGAGGTGAAGGCTCCTCCATTATCGCTTTGAATTGAATCAGGTAGGCCAAATCTAGGCATTGAGGAGAGCTTTGCTTACCTCGGATACCTTTTTGCGTTCGGAAGGGGAACGCTTCTACCCATCCGGTAAAGTTATCTACAAACACTAAAAGATCCTTGAAACTTCCTGTAACTGTTGGCATAACTGTTAAGTCTACTTGCCAGTCTTCTCTGGGTCCCGTCCCATGGGCTTGTACCCCAGGCATAGGAGGTGGTGGGCCTGTTTTTGGAGATTAGGCCCTTTAATCAGTTTGGCTAGCCAGTGAAACAGCATCCACACTGAAATGCGTGAGCTGTCTTTATTATTGGGTGCACCAGGTATTCTGGCATTAACACCAGTCCTTGGAAACTGTACAACTACCGTCTTCTGCTCTGTAATTAAGATCAAAGCCCCCTTCACAAAGCTGTTTATATCACATTCAGTGCACTGGGGGTTTTCTGATAGATGAAGATTAGGAATTAAAGCAAGGCAAGTGGCGGGGGTTTTGTTCTAGCGGCTTATTTGGCCGCCTGATGAGACTCTCCCTTCTGGTGCTCAGGGCAGTGTATAACTGCCACCTCTGTTGACCATAGTTCATTATTCAAAAAAGGCATCTCTGGTAGGCTTTCTTTCCTCTAGCCGAGATGCTCTTTTCTGTCACAGGCCTGCCAGGTTTTGGGGCGAGGTAAAGATGGTGACTGTCTCGCCAGGCCCTGAAGCTGTGTGCCGCATCTGCCTGTGTTTGGCAGCTCCCTACCCTGCCAGTGAAGCTGGCCGAGAGCTGGGACTGCACACTTGTCCCTGCCTGGGGCAGCTGGAGGGTCCCCTGTGTGCCTGAGACAGCAGCAGAGGCCATGTTCTCCAGCTCTCTAGTCTGTTGTGTTAGTAAGTTGTCCTCCCACTGTTATTGCAACCCGGGGATCCTCGTGGGTTGCAGGGGAGCCCCTGGGCCCCGTCAGTTTGAATCATCGGCTGACAGCTGCGGGAGCTGTGTTATGGGTTTCCAGCTCGGACTGGGTTGGCCGAGAGGGGCACTCTTGTTTCCAGTGGCCTTTTTGTTTGCAGTTGGCACATTGTCTGGGGCCTAGCTTTAGGAGGCCTTGGGTTGGCCACTGGCCCTTTTGGGGCCCATGAGGACTTACCCCGTACGAGGTCTGCCTGGGTGGCGGGTTACCTCTGAGAGCTGCTGCTAGGAACGCGGCCTTTTTCCTTATGCCTGGTCCAAATTATTGAAGACCTTAAAGGTGATCTCAACAAGTTGTGAAGTATTCATTCCTGGACCTCCTTGTAACTTTTGAAGTTTCCACCTGATGTCAGGATGCTCTGGCCGATAAGGGTCATATTTATTAGCCTGGCATTCTCTGGGTCTTCCGGGTTTATATCAGTAAACTGCCAGTATGCTTCGTACAGCCGTTCCAAGAAGCTGGAGGGATTTTCCTTGGGGCCTTGTTGTACATCCTAAACTTTTCTAAGGCTCTTCTGTTTTGGGGCCCCTTGCTGTGAAACAGCTTTTATAATGTTCTAGCTGTCCTGCCCCCAGCTGATATCTGTGGCAGGTACAGCCTGAGCTGCTGGGAGTCTAACACCATTTTGAGGGTTGAAGTTATGCAACCTGTTGGCCTCTTGGTGTGCCTTTTCTAAGACCATCTTCCGTTCCTCTGGAGTTAACAGGATATTCCAATTATACAGGTCAGAGGTGGAGAACGGTGTATGGACCCAGATAAACCCCCTAGGCTGGCCGTTGTGATCAAGTTTGGCAGGCATTTGTCTCAGCGGAAATTGCCCTGAGGAGACTTGGGTGGATTCCTGGCTATATTGCATGCCACTACGGGGGTGTGCTGGGGAGACTATTCCCTGAGCAGCACCGGGAGTTTGTGCGACCTAAACCCCACTCTATACACAGGGCTACTGGCTTGAAACAAAAAACCTGTGATCCTCCCTGGGCAAATCCTAGTTCCCCTTTCAGCATAGCCAGTTAAGTATTGGCTGAAGGTGAAGTTACATGCTCTCTGTAGTACATTCAGATAAACGTATAATCCTAAACATATAACCCTTTTAAAAACATTCCAGATTTGTCTTCTCTTTACACCCTATCTTCCCATTTATATGCATATGGCCTTGGGCCTCTGGCAGGTGGAACCAGAAGACCCTGGCCCCCTGTCAATCATCCTGTTTATCTGGCCTGGCTTTGGCCCCAGGCCTCTCCAGGTGGGGCTTTTCTCCCCTGCACCATTAGCTTACACTGTTTTTGTAGGTTTTTATTTTGCCAGAGAGACAGAAAGGTTTGTACGTAGGGAGTTTCATCCCATTTTCTCTCTCTTTTGTCATAGTTAAGGGACCCCAAAGAGTAATCAGAATCCACATGAAAAAGCAAGGAGCACCAGTGGTTTCCCATATGTCACTCACACTCACACAGACTCAGAAACAGAACAAGAACCTGAACCTAACCAAAGTCAACAACCAGAAACTAGGCTGCCCATTCTCTGCCTTCGGCTAGGGGGAGTGGCAGGGCAAGATAATGAAGATAATCTCAGTAGCGCTTCAGTCCCTCTCCAGTGGGAATGTCTTAGTCCTACTTCAATCCTCCAGATATCTCCCCACCTCCAATCCCAAGCATTTACACTTAACAAGAGAAATTCCTAGGGCGCTTACCTAGCTTACCTCCGTACTGGAGTTAGTTTTTAATTCTCAAGGTAAAAACGCCTCGGGCCAGTCGCTGCCTCGATCGTGGTTAGGAGACCCTCCGGATCCTCCCAGACAAGAGGCTTGGTGCGAGCTGAGGGTCGGTGGAGGTTCCGCTCACAGTCGAGGGGGTGTCAGGCTCTGGACAGAGGGTCGTGCAACCGTCTGGCCCCAAGTTGGGCGCCAAAATTGTTGCCAAACCTTAAAGGTGGGTCCTTGTCTGGAGTGCTCAGACTTCTCAATTATACGGACACTGGTCTTTGAGAAAGTAACTTTATTGCAATTCCCAGAGCAAGGAGCCGGGAGGAAGTTCCTCAGATCCGACTCCCTGAGCTACAGGGAAGCAGGGCTTATATGTGATTTGGGCACAAGATGGCAGCTGCGCAGGCGTACTGGAGAGGGAAAAATTCTAGAAGATGGCCAGGAAATATGAGCTGACGTGGTTCTTGTCAGACCTCTCGCTTCAGAATAGAGCCTAGGTGATGATTTTTCTTCTGATTCACTCCTCCTGTTGCTGTGTCCTCTGTTGAGGTCAATTATCAGTCACAGCTGGCCCTTCTGTGCACGCAGGGTGGGCCAAATCTGGCTTGGGCTAGTTTAAGGACTAACGGAAATTTACTGGCATTCATAGGGTCAGGTTACACAGGGATACTCATGATTAAAAGACTGGTTTTTATACTAAAACAGTGGTTCTCACACTTTAGAGGGTATAAGGATTACATTGAAAATTTGGTAACAATCAGAATTCAATAGCCTCAAAGTAGAGTTCTAATTTGATCAGTCGAGGTTGGAGTCCAGGAATCTGCATTTTAAGTACACCTCCTAGATCTGGATAGAATAGTTTGAAGACCATGCTTTGAAATACATACTTTTAAAAGCATCCTCTTTGATCAATCAGTAAAATCTCAAACAAAAAGATAATTTTTGTAGGGTAAAACCTCAGAGAAGAGGACTTAAAACAACAATCTGCATACCGCTTTTCACTAAAATAATTTATTCAACAGTTCATCATTTTCTGAATTTCCTCACACACATACATCCATTAAAAAGAAAAATTGCTGTTGAGTGGATTTCGACTCATAGTGACCCTATAGGACAGAGTAGAACGGCCCCATAGGGTTTCCAAGGAGTGGCTGGTGGATTTGAATTGCCAACCTTTTGGTTAGCAGCCAAACACTTAACAACTGTGACACCAGGGTCCCTATACATCCATAGCTACCAAATTAATAAACACTAGTCCTGGTGGTGCAGTGGTTAAGAGCCTGGCTGCTAACTGAAAGGTCAGCAGGTCGAATCCACCAGCCGCTCCTTGGAAACCCTAATGGGATAGTTCTACTCTGTCCTATAGGGTCACTATGAGTTGGAATTGACGGCAAAGGGTATGGTGTGGTTAGACTCAGATTTATTACAGTGACAGACTTACAGGATTTGAAGCCAACAGAGGGAAGGGGAATGGTGGCCTATATCTTCAACACTGTTTAAAAGATTTTCTCTTTGTGTTTCGTAAAGTGCGTAGAGTTTAATGTGCATAAGTTAGTTAAATGTCTGTATGTTGGAAGCTACTGTGTAGTGGCAGGTATCTTTTTAACAATACAAATAATGTATATGTTTTTCAGGAGGAAGAAAACAGAACTTAGACTCCAGATTCCTACTAACCAAAGAGGATTTTTTGTCCAATTTCAATATTTTTAAGAAAGTAAGTTGGCTTCCCTTTTCCTTAAGTTAGTAAGACCGTATTTTACCACTTGGGTAGAACATTAGTTAGTCCTCAGCTCTTCTTGAGCAGTGATGGATGAGGAAGGTGTCTACCATGTTCTCTGATGGTCTATATCTGTTTTATATCTCTCCCTCAGTAGACTGTTATTGTTATGTGCTGTCAAGTCGATTCCAACTCGTATCAACCTTATAAGACAGAGTAGAATTGCCCGTAAGATTTCCTAGGCTGAAATCTTTATGGGAGCAGATCACCAGGTCTTTTCTCTTGCAGAGTGACTGGTGAGTTCAAATTGCCAACTTTTGGTTAGCAGCCGAGAGCTTAACCATTGCACCACCAGGGAAATGGGCCCTTAGGTCAGGAGGGACCTAGGAAAAGGAGAGAAGAGAAATTTTCAGGACAAAGAAAGGCCATTGTGGTTGGAACTATTCTAAAATTTCTTTGCATCATGTGAAGACGGGAATTGATTGAAGTGCTTGGGGCGTCTTTTCTCGGTAGACCAAGAAGCTGATTTAGAGATATTAAAACAGTAGTAACAATTATTTAAAACTGAATGAATGAACAGCTTCTCTTTTCTAATCACCATATTAACATTTTATTTTAGAAGAAGCATGTTTTAAACTATAAATCTCATCCAATGGAAGATGGTGGAACTGATAATCCTGCCTTCAACCATATTGAATTAAATGTCACAGATCCAAGTGGCAAGATAAATGGGACTCGTTTGTGAAGGAGCTGTTAGAAGACGATCTTAAACAGCGTCTCAGCTTTACATGTTTTCTAGGAAAATTAGATCAGGTTAAGATTTTTTTCTTTTTCCTTTTTTTTTCTCATCTATTATGAGTAGTTTGGGGAACTTTTGGACGTTGAATTTTTGTTAAAGTCCTGCTTTTCTTCACTTACTACGCTCATTAATTGAGACTAGTCTGGAGTTAAGAAAGGGCTTCAGCATCAGAATTTCCCTCTAGCCCTCTTGTATTTCAATGAAGCTGTAGTTGTGAATGTTATAAGACTACATGTATGCTGACAGGCTAATACACACATAATCACATGTGCCTGATGGTCAAAAGCATAAATTTGGGCATTACTGAAAATATTCTCTATGCCTTTGGTGCTAGCATATGAATTCTAGGATTCACCAAAAACATAACTAATTTTGAAAAGAGTTTTTTCTCTTGCCTACCAAATACCCTATTCTCTGGGAGCAATGAGGTGACAGGCCTGTGCTGTCTAGATCTTTGCTTCTCATCCTTCTATCAGCCCAGGAAACATATTTACCTTGGAACTGGTTCTCACTAAGAAAGGTGGTGATCAAGAAGCGTACTGTTTGGGACAGAATATGGGCCCAGTGGTTAAGGTCTTCTTGATGCTATAAATCTATTCTTGTGCTTTTTTGCTTGTTACCTAGAATTTCCAGCTTTTTGCCACTTACATTGCCTTTCTTAGACTCTGGTTCTTGTCTACATTCCTACTTTCTGACCCACCAACTCTGGTTTGTTGTGCACTTTTACACCACAAACTCCCTTCCTGATTTCGTGTTACTATATTGCCCTGGACTTGGATATGTCTTGATCTATCCAGTGTGAATCATGCTGCTCAAATCCTGATTCACCAAGCCCCAGCCTATAAATTATAAACTCCCAGGAGCCTGGTACTAACTAAAGTACACATACAAATTATGAATTTTGTGATCAAAGGACATTTATATTATTAAAAATGGTTAAGCTCCGTGGAGTTACATTATTACAATTTAATGCCATTAAGTTGAACTTTTGAAAGTCAACAAATTTGCAATCAATTAAATTTAAAGGTACATATACTTCTTAAGTTTTAGAAATCTTGAAATTCATCCAGTTAAGTATCTAAATTACATAGGCAAACACTACAATTTCTCTCTAATGTTCCAGAATTATTAAATGTATGCTTCGTTCAGTGTTTTAAAATTTGAAGTAGCAGTCTTGAAATTGCTTAACTGTTTATTTTGCTACATTCCTAGCTTAGAGTTTGGTTATAGAATTTAATCAATAAATTATTTATGCTACAATACCCACATTAGATACTCTTTAAGAGTTTTTTTTTTAACTTTTTGATTTTTTAAAAAAAATGAATGAAAAATATTTAGATACATTAAAATGTTTTTGTAATTCAATAATTGTATGCTTATTTTCTGTTATGGATTGAACTGTGTCCCCCCAAAAGTATGTGTGTCAACTTGGCTAGTCCATGAGTCCCAGGATTGTGTGATTGTCTACCATTTTGTCATCTAATGTGATTTTCCTATGTGTTGTAAATCCTACCTCTATGATGTTAATGAGGTGGGATTAAGGGCAGTTATGTTTATGAGGCAGGACTCAATCTACAAGATTAGGTTATGTTTTAAGTCAATCTCTTTTGAAATATAAAAGAGAGAAGCAAGCAGAGAGACATAGGAACCTCATACCACCAAGAAAGCAGCGCCACCAGGAGCAGTGTGCATCCTTTGGACCTGGGGTCTCTGCGCCTGAGAAGCTCTTAGACCAGGGCGAGATTGATGAAAAGGACATTCATCCAGAGCCGACAGAGAAAGAAAGGCTTCCCCTGGAGCTGGCATCCTGAATTAGGATTTCTAGACTACTAGACTGTGAGAGAATAAATTTCTGTTTGTTAAAGCCATGCACTTGTGGTATTTTTGTTACAGCAGTACTAGATAACTAAGACATTTTCTTATCCTCAATATTTTGGTAACCATGTTCTGTACATTTAGAAGTAGCCAACTGAAAACACTAAGATAATAAAAATAATAGGATTAACATTTATCTGAAACAAAGAGATTTATATAACATTTAAATGAATTATGTATTCATATATTTCTTATGTATGTAGGTGTTATTTTTTAATCAACATATTTGTAAGAAATATCAGATTTTGTGAATCTTTATATAGTGTTTCAGTGAATAGGAAGATATGTTGTTTTATGCAAGTATGATTTGAACAATATTTAATAATTCTAAATGTACACATGTATATAATCCTTGAATTTTGGAAGTCAAAATCAGTTTATTTAAATAAATTTTTCCTTTATCTGACAGCTGAGAAGTTATGCACTATATTCTTAATGAGAGATGATACTTTTATTCTTGTCCACTTACTTTTAGATAAAGTATATCTTTGTGACATTAGGAACTTAATATTTTGCTTTTGTAAACACCTAAGAGTGTCAACTAGAATTTAAGAAATCAAAGTAATATTATTAATTAAAAATAATTTATCTTATTTTCAAAAATCTTTAGGTAAAATCAAATAGAGGCAAAATTTTAATATGTGATAATGTAAATTAAATAATTTTAATTAGTTTGAATCACAAAAATCTTAACAGGAAAAAGTCATACAGGTTGTCATTCAGTGTCTGTTTTGCTGCCGACAAGTTGTATGAGCTTGAATATCTCTTTGATTTCCAGTATCTCTCCAATGGAACATGACACTAAGCACCTACCTACCTCACAGAAATAATGTGACTATAAAAGATCAGATTGAGCTCTTCGGCAAAATAGCACTTTATTAACTCAAATAGTGTTACTTAAAATTTCAGTATAATTGGGAATCAACATTTGAGACAAATGTCACTTGCCAGTTTCGAAAAATGAGCTGCTAAAAGTCTGCAATGTAATGAAGTAAAGATAATTCCTTCTCTAAAAAAATTGTGTTTTGTGAAATATTAAAATATTTAGGAATCAGCAAGCTTATCCCAGCAGAGAGAATGTAAACATAATTTTTTTAAAAAAAGATAGAAACAATAACAAATCTCCGAAAACCAAACTAAACAAAAAAGATACAGATCCAAAAAAAAAAAAAAAAAGATATAGACCAGTCGTACTCATTCCATAGAGAAATGAAAATTTTATAGGTAGGATGTAAAATAGTACAAATGTATATTCATCTATTTATTTGCTTATACAATCATGTTCTCGCTGGACCATTGGTTCTTAATGGGCTGGGGAGGGGGGAGGTGGGTGGATGGTGCCCCTCAGGGACATTTGGAGACATTCTTTGTTTGACAACTGGGGAGTAGGCGCTATTGGCATCTAGTGGGTGGAAGTCAGGAATGTCGCCAAAAATTCTGCAATCCACCGGGTTGCCCTCAACATCAAAGAATTCTTTAATCCAAGTTGTCAAGTAGTGCCCAGGTTTTTGTTGTAGAGGCAAAGGTTGCAATCTTGATATTCCTGAAGTCACGTGGTCTAGTTGACTTCCTTCAAGGAGATCACTTGACACTTCCATCTGAGCATTCTCATTTACCAAAACCAAAACCGTTGCCATTGAGTCAATTCCAACAGGCAAGGATGAAAGTACCACTAGCAGGTGGCACACGATAATGCAGAATAACTACCATATATTTTCACAGCATTTTGAAAATATTAAGTACTATATATAGAATTGTGAATAATTTTAAAAATAATGCTTAGGACAGTATAGAGACTTGTGAATAATCATGAAAATAACACTTAGGACAGTTTAGCTTCTTACCGTGATTTGCAACATTAACACACATCAAGATGAAGGAAATATTAAATATATGAATAAGAGATTTCACAATTTTGCTTTATTTATGAAGACCATAGCAAGTATAATTTATTGTTAACAACTGAGTTAACACTCAGTATAATTTATTTTGAATAAATTATACATGGAACAGGGATGGAGTTGAGATGGAGGAAGAAATCCTTAGCCCTGTATTGCTTCTTATAGGAAATTATGAGGTTTTTTTCCTTTAAATATTGTTAATACAAAATTAGCTAAGTGTGTGACCATTTAGTTACCGAAAACTCACTGTATGCTTTTACATTAAAGTTTTGTGTCCATTGTAAATGTAAAATGTATGCTTTTACATTTAAGTTGCCTGCCTACTGTTTATGAGAAAACTTGAGGAAGTTGAACATTACTATGGTTACATTATATGGTTACACTTCTGATTTTTCAACTTGCTGATTAAACTTCTACAGATATGTTTGCAACTGTCTGTTCTTGGGGGGAAAATGTCTAATTGAATATAATTATTTTTTTAGCCTTTATAGAAAGTTATTTTCACCCTATTTACCACATAAAGGAATTTTAATAAATATTGGATATATATTATAAAAGTATAAACAAATAAACATGCAGACATTTTGTCACTGAAGGATATATATATTAAAAAATTTTTTTTTATTGCACTTTAGGTGAAGGTTTACAGAACAAATAGTTTCTCATTAAACAGTCAGTACACATATGGTTTTATGATATTGGTTAACAACCCCATGACATGTCAACACTCTCCCTTTTCGATACTGAGGACCTTTTTTTTTTTTGGTGAAAATATACATAGCCAAAGATATACCATTTCAAAAATTTCTATATGTACAATTCAGTGACATGGATTACATTCTTCCAGTTGTGCTG